CATGAAGCCTCCAGCACTGTGTTCTGCTTACATTTACAGCGTTTCCCAAAGTGCGGTCCGCGCACCCCCAGGGGCACGGGAAGAGTTTGGTGGGGATATGCACTGCGCCGTGCTTAGCTGCGCCTCATTCTACGTTCTCATGAGTACGAGGGGTACCCAGCGTTACGAAAATTATAGAAGGGGTACACATATGTCAAAAGTTTGGGAAACACTGGTTTACAAGATACACTCGGTTATTACAATTCATAGAACACAGCATCGTGCAGCTAACAGAGGCCGTGGAGAGCGTTAACACAATGGTTTCTGACCACTGTGTCCCTGAGCACTTCCGTTGGCTCCAGAAGGGAGTAAGGGGGTAGAGAGCAGGCTGCCTCACCTCTCCCCCCACACCCTAACCAAGCCCTAACCAGAGCTGCTCCTTATTTCATCTGCAAAAAGGTTTCTGCGTTAAAGAGAACAACAAAAAAGATATGATTCAATATGCTCACGTTCTGTTCGATGCCTGCATCCTAAACCTGCGGTTTCCTGATCTACTCCTGTCCTGCTGGGCCCCGTCACCTGTCCTTTTGGCTTCTGGCTGATCCTGACACCTGCTGCCTGATATGGCTTTTTCAAACCCTGCGCCCTTGGCTGACATCCTGTTTAGGCAGAGCTATACTTAATCCTTGAACAAAGGCTATTTCCAGCTCAACCTTTAGGTCCCAAATTTGGCACCGAGGACAACAAACGTCTCAGAAGCAAACCAGGGAGGACTGGAATCACGCTCAGAGTTGCGGCTGTCACTTATACCCGCGTTGTTATGCTATCTGTGTGTCTGCTTCCCCATTAGACTGAGGTAGGAACACATCTCTATAATAGAACACATTTACTTCATTTCATAAAAGAAAAGCACTTTCTATCTAATGTTTACTCCAGGGGCTGCACTAACTGTAAATGTATGCTGTGTACTATTAAGGAATATTAGGATCGCTCATTCCTAGAGCTGGATGGAGCCCTGGACAGACATCAGTTAGCTGCAAAACTGAAAGCAAAGTGACCCTGTGCATTGACACTCCTCAATTCATTCAAGAACTATTTATTGAGCACCGATATCCTTAGGGCCTACGAATTCAGTGCTAAAAAGCACAAAGTCTTTGTTTTCAGGAAGCATATATTCTATAGGTAAATGATAAATAAATGGACACTCAAAGTGTTAGATAATGAAAAGAATAAAGCAGAGTAAGGTACAGAAAAGGGAAGCTGCTTTATGCAGGGCAGAAGAGGAAGGTCTCATTCAGGCAACATTTGAGCAGACACCTGACAATCAAACCAGGTTGAATCTGGGAGGAAAATGTTCACATAGAAGGAACACCACATGCAAAGGCCTGAGGGAGAAGTGTGCCCGGTGGTGTGAGAAAGGCAGAGGCGAGGGGTTGGGAGTAGAGTAAAAAAGGAGTGAGAGCAGCTGAGGTCGGAGAAGTAGGGACCAGATCATCTGGCTTCAAATCACTTTGAATTTCAGCCAACAATTCAAGATAACCAATTCCTAAAAAAATAAAAAATAAACCACGGTTAGCTTTCATGAAAGCAATGTATAATAGAAAGAACCTTATCAGCAAGCCTACTCTGAAAATAGAATTCCCAACAACTCAGGGCCACTGTTACCTTATATGTAACCAAAACATCCTAACAGGACTCACTGCCGTCTAAGCTCTCAGTCATACCAACGTGGAACCTGAGGCCCCGAGAGTACGTGGCCTCCCACTTAGTGGCCAGCCTGGAGCTACAACACAGGTCTCCTGTGCTTTTCATTGGCCTCTGCTGCCTGGACAGTCTGGCTGCGTAGAGGCGCCTTGGTTTCTCCCGTGGAGCATTCCTTGGCCTCGGTAACTTTTTTAAGTCAGTAAGAAAATGAAGAGCTGTCCCCTGAGGCACCCCCAGGCACATCCCCACATCCACAGCCTGTCATCAGAAGCTCCCCATTCCAGTTTTCATTCCCCCGAGTTGAAGACAACCAGGCAGGTAGGGTGATGGCAAGTCGGGCACCGTGCTAGACACTCTGAAGGCTGTTTTTGTTGGATTTGCCTGCCCAACATCCCTCACCCCATACTCCCAGAAGAAGCACTCCCCTCCGAGGTCCTGGTAGGGCAACAACCATAGTATTCAACCCACCCATTGGAGCAGACATATGACCTGGGCCATTTGAAGAATCTTATCCCTCTGATGCCATAAACGAGAGCTCAGGATCCAATCGGAGCCAACCAGAGTCCTTTCCTGGAAGAGCTAGGAAAAGAAGCTCCAGCCTGTTTCCCAGCTGCCTAAGCTAGGCATCTTCATTTTGCTCAGGTTAATTTACATTATTAATTATTGTCATTTGCAACCAAAAGAATTCACACTTGTGCAGGTACTTGCATACTTTCTCTCATTCCATCTGCGTAACAACCTTGTATGATTGCTATTACTCTATTTTGGAATGAGGAAACAGAGGCTAAGTATCTTGCCCAAGTTCATACAGTAAGTAAGAGGCATTCAAATTCATAAAATAAGTAAGAGACATCCAATTCACGTCTTTCTGCTCTAAAAACCATTCAGTCTCCAGTTATGAATTCAGTATTAACTTTAGAAGGAGACTCACCGCCATTCTAAAGCCCCCAAAATGAATTTTTGGTTTAAAATTATGGTGGAAATGAAAGGTGGGAGGATGAGGGTTGGGGGCATAATAAATAGCATTCGCGCACCTGGCTTCTACTTCAGACTCTGTGCCATGAGCTCAGACAATGGGACTCTGGGCAAGTCATTTCACTGACCTGGGTATTAGTTGTCCCACCATTAAAATGAGAAGCCTGAACAACAGGAACTTAAGACCCTCTTAGTACACGAAGAACATAAAGTGCACGTGGCTCAGCGTTAGGTACACAGGTTCTCTTTCTGCTCTGTCAGGTGAGATGTCCAGCAGATTGTAACTAGAAGGGCAGGCCCAAGAACAGGCAATGGCTGTCTGGGGCATGACGCTGTGGAGGGCTCTGAGCTGCACAGATCTGCTGGGAAATCAGCGGGCATCCTGGCCACACGTCTGCCATCACTGACCAAGCATCTCACCTGGACGGAGGCATGCTGCTGTCTCCGCTATTGAGGCTATTAGTACCCGCACCGAATTTTCTCTGACTCCTTCATGAACTTTCTTGGTTCCCCTTTGCAAGCAAGGAATGAAAGTACAAGAAAGCTGTAGGGAAGACAGCTTGACACCAATGACGAAAATAGTCTAAACAGCCGACGTGGAGTTGAGGTAGGGGAGAAGGGGAGCAATAAGAATCGGTACGGTTCCTTATTATACATGTGGTCTCATAAGAGCCTAAAGATTTGATTATCCGTTAAAGTATTATCATGCCCCTTTTATAGAAAGGGAAAATGAGGCTCAGGTAATGGGACTTGTCCAAGTCACCCACTTCTAAGGGGCAGAACCCAGTTTCAAATGTAAGTCTTCTAAATCCAAGTCCTCGTCCTCTCTCCACTCTCCCCAACATTCCCACAGCCCCAGTAAGTTCAACCAATCAAGTTCATCATTGTTGGCAGCTGTTCAGATATAAGTTTCTCCCTTATAAAGCAACATGTGAAATATCGTTACCAACTTGTTGGTAATTGAATGGGCAGACATGCACTGAGTATATATGAAGCGAAGCAAGCATACAGTCACCTATCTCCACGCCTTTGTGTGTAACTAACTCTTCTCAGCCTGAGGGGCCCTCTTCACCCTGTCGGCCCAGAAACCATCCCCTCCTCTTCCAAGGCCTGATTCAGGACTCACTGCCTCTGCACAGCCCTTCCTAGCACTCAGTGAACACGTTTCCTCTGTGCCCCACACAGCCACTAGGCTTGATGGCCCTTGTTTGGTGAATGTTTGTTTCCTTCACCAGTCCTTTCAAAATGTGCTATAAGCCCATCAGCAAACATCTGGTCAACCCCGCCCCCTGCCAATGCTTGAATAGCCCCTGCAAACTGCCACTCATTAAAGCATGCATACATATATTCATTTAAAAAATCTGCAAAGTGCCAGGTATTGGACTGTGCCAAACAGAAGTGGGTTCACCATGAAATCAGTGAGACGTAAGCTTCACTGGCACCTCTGAACCGTCTTTAGGAACTTTGCACTTTTATTTCTTAAAGAGTCCAGACGGAGCTGTGTATGTGTCGGGCTGCACAAAAGCAAGGACACAAGGGTGACCGAGGCCAACACCCCTTTACAGAGTGTCCTCTCCCCCTGCAGCTTCGTGGGGAAGACCGACAGCCATCTGTTCACTTTTATCTTCACTCCATACTAACCATACACTAAGCAACCTTTCCCGCGGGGAAAGGTCCCTGCTCTCCCGGACCAAAGCCTGCCGCGTCCAGATAACAGAAGGCAGGTTCGATGGCAGCACCGTGGAGTGTTTGTGAAAGGCGACCGTACACCAGCCTCCAGACAAACTGATCCCTTGCGGGGCCCTAATCGGCTGCAGGAGGCCAGGGGAAGGGAGAGGTCAGCGGGACGCGATCTTTGACCTCCACGCGCGGGGGGTGAGGGGAGGAAGGGGTGCGGGGCGAGGGAGGGAGGGAGGGAGAGAGGAGCGCGAAACGAAAAGCGCTGGAGCGAATGCACTGTGGTCGGTGCGGCCACGGGAAGCGGGGGCCGCGGGGAAGCTCCCAGCGTTCAGCGCTGCGGTGACAGCGAGCTCACCCTCGCTCGAAGCGGCCCCTGAGCTCAGCGAACTGGGATTCCCGGGTGTCTTTCCCCCCTACCCCCGCCCCGCCCGAGCAATGTGCTCCCCAATACCCGTCCCCATCCTTCCAGTGGAGGCTGTTCCCTCCCCGAGACAGCTGTGGGCTCCCGGCAAACCCTCCCGCCCCCGCTCCCGACCCCTTTTCGCCAGGCGCTTCCTGCACACACGCTCGCGGGACAGGGACTGGTCTGGTCCGGGTTCCGGGGTCCCCGTCGCCGGCCCGAGCCCACCCCCTGCCCTCCGTTTCCATAGCAACCAGCTCACCACTTCGCGCGCGCGGCTGGAGAAGTCGCCCTTGGGCCGGGGGGTGCGGCGGAACAGCTCGTCGCGGCTGCCGTCGACCCCGCCGCCCACCGCCACTCCCAGCGCCTTGTTCCGGGTCTTCACGGTCTTGACGCTGGCCCGGAACAGCAGGGTGATGTCCACCGCCATCGCGGCCCGCGCTCACAGCCCCGCACCGGCTGGCCCACGTCAGCAGCCGGCGACCACTGCGAGGACCGGCCGCTGGAGGACTGGTCCGTCGCTGCACGCCTCCGCCCGCCGCCGGCGACGCGAGCAGATAGGTTCCGGCCTCCGCCCGCCGCCGGCGACGCGGGCAGAAAGGTTCCGGCCTCCGCCCGCCGCCGGCGACGCGGGCAGAAAGGTTCCGGCCCCTGCCTGCGAGGCGTGTTCCCGCGGCGCCCCGAACCCCCGAGACGCGCACACCCGCTCCCCCTTTTCCCACATACAGTTTTGTTTTGCTTATGGAGAAAGAGAGAAAGTGAGAAAGAAATGACAAATCTCTGCCAATGATTCTGTATTGCATAAATGGGCCTTTGTGTAATGGAGACGCTAGTGAGTCTTTGCCTTTGACGGTAAGGCTGGGGCAGAGCCAAAGAGGTAAAGAGCTGGGGAGTGAATTAGGGTAAGAGGGGACCAGCACCCAGGAAGGAGGCCAGGTCATAGGGGAGGGTTTTGAGTGGGAGAGGGCTGAGCTACACCAAATCTTCAATGTGCATAGTGTGTCTGGTGCAGTTGTGGAGGTTTTCTGTGTGTTGTTGTTGTTGTTGTTGTTGTTTTTTGGGGGGGTGAGGAGGCGCAGAGAGTGGGAACAAAGGTCTAAGTTTTCTCTGGATGTGTAAAAGCGAAGAAGATTGTGGAGAGGACGCACAAGTGAGCTGAAAACATCAGGCTATACAAGGCTCACATGACCACAAGTACATGCTACCCCTAGGAAAGTCGGCGGGGAGACCATTCCTTAGTCTTCCCCCAGACCGTGGGCTATGAAATTTCCCTGTCAGCCTTCTTTTTATTTTATTCTCTTAACCCCCAAGAGCAAAGGGCCTTCAGTTGACAGTGGGCTGTAACTATTTGAAACCCCATAGAGCTGAGGGGATGTAGATGTAAAAAGGAAGAGCAGGGTGGAGGGATGCTACAGGCTGCCCAGCCCCTAAAGGAGGTTTCGTCAGTAACGATATTTCATTCATTGGGTCAGGCGCTCTTCTCTGGAAGACAGCAAGGTGTAGAGTTCCCAAGTACAGGCCCCTCCAGCCCTCCTCCGCTCCATTGGGATAGATGCGGGCAGCGTGGATTCATTTGGGGACTTTCATAGACGTCCTAAGTGCAGCTTCGGCGAGAAAGGGTGTGTGTTGCAACCCAGGACACGTGTGCTGTGGGTGAGAAATAGCCACCAGCCACCCAGAAGTCATTGTCACATCCCTTAGAAAGGCCCTGCTGCCTGGGGAAAGGCGGTGTAAGCAGGCTTTTGCTGAGTGGAAAATTTGTTTCCTTCACCAGTGCCTGGAAGTGGGGATTCTTGGGTAGCATGAGACACCCGAGTTTTCTGGACGCATGGAATCATGAACATGCCACGATAATACAGAAACGGGAGACCGTCTGCGGTGGTCTCTGTCGTTCCCTCAGAGGCAGGGCCTCTCCCCAGGAGGGGGTGATAATTGCTTGACCTACCGATGGCTGACTGGGCCATAACAAGCAATGTGTGTTGCAAATGTAAGAAATCCCACGTGCTTCACTGCTCTCTTTATCTTCTGCCATGACAACCAACAATAGTCCAGGGCTCATTGGCCTGGTCCCTAGAGAAGATGCCATGGGGCATGGTTAGCCAAGTACGTGTGCTGGCAGCTCGAAGGCACCCTTTGTCCTCGCTGTCCATGGGAATGCGTGGTGGGTGCTGCTGCAGCATAATCACACTATGAAACCGATATCCAGATACCGACAAAGCAAGACCATTGGGCACATCCTTCTCTTACCACCATTCCTGCTTGGGAACTCCAAGCCCGGACATGAGGCCGAGTCAGCCCATGGGCTGCTGAGCACGCAGTGCTGCTGGTATGCAGTCCGCAGGAGCCACACAGAGTGGGCGCCAGTGGGCATAAGGCTTCGGGGGACAATGGGAAGCTACAGTGTTAAATTTCATCCATATCACACCTGAAGCTTCTGGACACTAGACAGTTCTAGTTTAAAAAATAAAAAAGGAGAAGAATCCCAGGAAATAGCCAAGAATGAGTCATGGGAAAAGCAAACGAACAAACAAAAAACACCTGAGATTTGGAAACTGAGCGATCTGGGATTGGATTCCAGCTTCCCTGCTCACCAGCTGGGTGACTTTAAGGGAGCGGCTTTACCTCTCTGAGCCTTGTCTGGGAAATGTGTGAAACACAGGAACACCTACTCACCACTTCTGCTTCTGTGAGCAGGGATTTCTTCCTAAATACACGTTCCACCTCCCTCTTCTCCCCCCCGGAGCCAGTACTAGTCATCTGGCTGTTGGAGGACGGCCAGCAGCCTGCATTTTTCAGTTGGTTGGAGCTGTCTTTCTACGTTTCTGAGCTGAGGACATGGCTCTTCTGCAGACGTCAGCGGGAGGAATCTGTTCAGCATACTTGTACTTCACCTTGGGAGGGAGCTAGGCACTAGAACGCTACCAGACCTCTCTCTCCCCCAATATAATTATCTCTGCAAACCAGCCTCCTCTGGTTCTCACTTCACGTGGCCGAACACGGGCCCCCGTCAGCTCCTGAGTTTATACGCTTCTAATCATAGCTGCATGGATTCCAAGCCCAGATTCTGAGTTGGCCCAGATAGGGACAGACGTTTGCGCCTGGTCCAGTCAGCTATGGCTCAGCGTCCAGAGTCATGATGTTCAAATGTGACTGTCAGGATATATTCTGACAGTTGGGGCTAGTTTTCCTATAACAAATTAGCACAAACACAATAGCTTAAAGCAAAGCACATTTGCTAGCTTCTTGTTCTAGAGGCCAAAATCTCACAATGGGTGTGGGCAGAGCTGTTTTCTTTCTGAAAACTGTAGGAGGGACTCCACGTTGCCTTCTCTGGCTCCTAGAAGCTGCCACCTTTCTGGGCCCGTGGCCCCTTCTTCCATCTCCAAAGCCAGCAATAGTGGGGCGAGTCCTTTTTACAACCCATCAGCTTGACCCCTCCTTTCTCTTCCACATGCAGGGACCCCTGTGATGGCGTGGGGCCCACCCAGGCGGTCCAGGATAGCCTCCCGCTCTGGAGGCCAGCTGATGAACAACCTTCATTCCGTCTGCGGCCCCATTCGCCCTGGCCATGAATCAACATAGTCACACGTTCCAGGCGTTCCGGTTTGGACGCCTTCTGCCTTACCATAGGGGGTCTGCTCCAACAGAAAGGTGAGTGATCATGAGCTGGGCTCGCGAGCCACATGCGGCTCTTCGGCCCCTGGAGTGTGGCTTTTCCACAAAATACCACAGCCTGGGCGAGTCTATTTTCAAGAAGTGGCGTTGGAAGAAGTTTAAGTTTAAAACATGTGGCTCTCCAAAGAAATTTTAATCGTTGTGCTGTTGGTATTTGGCTCTGTGGACTAATGAGTTTGCCGACCACGGCTCCAGACAAACAGATCCAGGCTTTTCCATTCCTTTCACAACAGCCCTGGGCCTGCTCCTTGTAACACCCCGAGGGGCTACAGAAATCCGGGAGACGGGGTCACTTCCCTTACAGCACATGTGTCAAACACAAGGCCCGCGGGCCAAATCCGTCCCTCCAGGCCTTGCAATGTGGCCCGCACCTCGCTGTCATCACTGCACTCCGCTGCGTTTCCATCACAATGACAGTTTATGACTGTTCAGTAAACCATTCGGCCCGCGATTTAGGCTGGATTTTAGATTTTGGCCCCTTCTCTGATTGAGTTCGACACCCCTACCTTACAGGGTTCCTCCCGGAGGAGGCTTTCCCATGCCCGAAGGATAAGGCAGCGCCCCTCTGACCTCTTCCAGCCCTGCCTGCCTCTCCTAAGGAACCATCATCCCGCTTCGCTTGGCCCGTCTGAAAAGACACCGCTTGTAACCGGTCATTAACAGTTCCCAAAGTTCAAGTCCTCTCTCTCCCCTCACCCCCACGGGTTTGGAAGTTGGTGCCACTTCTTCCCAGCACTCACTTGGTCCACCCCAGGAGTTTCATAAATCACCTCATAAAAGCTCATTTACTGGTTTCCCCGGCATAATGGCAGGAATAAACTGCTCGGTGCGCGCTCGGCAACGCGCTCCAGAGAGCGTGGCCAGCCGTGGCCGGCTTCAGCGACGGAGGAAGGGCCCAGCATCTCGGTTCCCAGCCGAGACGCCTTCCCCCTCCGCTCGTGGACAGTATCTCCCGTAATTAGGACGACCGGGTCCCCGGCTTTTTATTGAGTTGGATGGCAAATCACAGAATAAATGCTTTCCTTTGCACTTTAAAAGGATTTATTAGGAAAATATTTTTTCCTACATCCTGTTTCAAGGGGAAAATGTGATTTTAGGGGACATTTTATAGTTCACTACAGGATATTGGAGGGCATTTGGTTTTGCTTAGTTTATTAGGACTGTGTTTCTCCAGCATGAAGTGGTGTTTTTGTGCGATTATTTAGATAAGTCTGATTGGGGTGGGTGGATCGCCATAGTATTATGGAAATTTAGGACTGGAAAGGGCCTCAAATATCACCCACCCAACTTCCTTGTATTTCGGATGAGAAAGCAAGAGGCTGGCCCAGGATCATACCTTGAGTTCATGGGAGGGTGGAGGGAGAGATGATATTAGATTCTTTTTTTTTTTTTTTTAATATATTTTATTGATTTTTTACAGAGAGGAGGAGAGAGGGATAGACAGCTAGAAATGTCGATGAGAGAGAAACATCGACCAGCTGCCTCTTGCACACCCCCTACCGGGGATGTGCCCGCAACCAACGTACATGCCCCTGACCGGAATTGAACCTGGGACCTTTCAGTCTGCAGACCGACGCTCTACCACTGAGCCAAACCAGTTTTGACGATATTAGATTCTTTATCTCCCAACTGTTCAGTGCTCTCAAACCAGGTTGTTGTTGTTTTTTTTTGTTTGTTTGTTTGTTTTGGGGGAGTAGGGGTAGTGACATGCATACAAAGGGATCTGTATGTATCTGTAACTACCGGTACTTTTGAATTTGAGAATTGGGGTAATTAAGTGTGGACTGTGTATGAGTCATCCATTCACCCATCCATCCTTCCTCCCATCCATTCACCTGTACATA